GAGTTGGTCATAAATGGGGGAGCAAACTAGCTTTTGCAGTGATGACACAAATGTTTATTTCATCATGTTGGATGTCTTGTTCAAGCAAACTTCGTTGTTCATCCCAATTTCAGAATTTCAGCCCTTAAAAAAACGTAAGAGAATAATAACATGGTAATCTTAGCATATGACTGAGGCAGTTGTTGGAATGTAAATTATGAACATCGTTCTAAATACAACAATTAGAAACTAATGTTGCTCAGCAGGAAAAGGGTGGCTTGCCAACTCCGGGTCAGGAGAGAGGTCCTACCTCAAGTAGAGGAGTTAGTATGGAATTCTGGGATCTCTCTATTAGATGATCCATTGCACTAATAAAAGGGTTATGATCCTCAAGGGATGAAAACAACCATGGACGTAATTTTCACTTTAGAAGTGGGGGGGGGGGGGGGGGGCACGGGGGGGGGGGGGGGTGTATCTTTGCAGTATGCTCTAATGGGAAACAGGCTTCAACACAAACGGTTGTTTTCCGCTTGGTCCTAGAGCTCAACCAGTGTCAATTTAATATAGCGTGAAATTGTTTTTGGATGGTAAAAAGTGCAGGGGTCAAAACTTGACTTTGGAAAAAGTGGGGGGGCACATGTCCCCCCTGTCCCCCCCAAAAAAATTACATCCATGAAAACAACATAAAGGATTCTCTATGTTCCACAAAAACAGAAGATTGGCATGATATTTAACCTTGGGGGCATCAACAGAAAGAATTTTTCTTATGGGAATGAAAAGTGGGTTAAGATGTTAATGTACTCTGATGATTAAACTCTCAAAGCCATTATGCCTTTGGGATGATGTGATTCATAGGAAATGTTTTGTTTGTGAGATGATACAATTTAAATCAAAGTCAAGTTAAAGTCTCATCATCACACACTGGTGAAATTGCATTTCCAATATTGACCCATTCCCGTGGGGAGCAGTGAGCGACAGCAGTGGCAGCACTCGGGAACTATTGGGTGGTTTAAGCCCCCATTCCAACCCCTTAAAGCTGAATGTCAAGCAGGGAGAGGTCAGGTCCCATTTTTAAAGTCTTTGTCTTGACCCGACCGGGATTTGAATCCCAATCTCCCAGTCTTAGGGCGGACACTACCACTAGGTCACTGAAAATAAACTTTTCTTTGAAATTTCATCTAAAGTAGCTTGGAATTTACAACCAAAACTGTACATTACTAAAGCATGACTCAGTAGCCTGTAGAAGCAGCAGATGTTTAGTTGCACAAAGACACAAACTTCAAAAACAGGCTCCCACACATTGAGCTAAAGCTTTCAACAGACTTCTGCTTGAAGGAAGCATTCCTAAATTGCTGTGGAAAATTATTTTGCGTTTAGAGCAATTAAATGACTAATTTGTGCTTGTCTTGACCTGATTTCAAACAGAAACCACAGCGGGTAATTCAGTACCTTGAAGCGCAGCATCTCATTCTGGGAAATGGTACTTTACAAGAAGAAAATATAGATGTTTTTGTATTCCAGAGGCTTATTTTACTAGGAAAAATTGGTGATAATGGACACTGGGCATAAAAAAGGCTTATTTTTGGGTTCTGACATGAAGAAGTTAGTTATTGTAGGCTGGTATTATGCTAATGAAAATATTTGGTAAATGAGAGGATAAATTAAGATATTTAATGGTAAAATTTTGTTTTGATCGGCATCTCTCTCTCTCTGTCTGTCTGTCTCTCTCTCTCTCTCTGTGTGTGTGTGTGTGTGTGTGTGTGTGTGTGTGTGTGTGTGTGTGTGTGTCAACCTACTCCCCACCCCCTTGATCGAAATTGATGAATAAGCTACATAGCTGATAGAAAACAGGTGAATAGCTACGCATCTGATTTTGGGCTTCTACTCGTACATTCGCATATATTCATATAATTGAAGTATTTGGGGTAGCAATGCAGCCTCTTCAAGGCACTCGAGGAGTACAGATGCTTCTCTCTTTCGCTCCCTTATCTTTTTTTCCCCCAAGGCTCTTTGTTCTGTCTGCCCACAGAGCGCCTCTCTGCATTTCTTCTGAAAAAACTTTATTTTTTACTAACCATGGATTTGATAAACTGGTCATTCAATGCGATCAATAAGATTTTTTCAACAATGAGAACGGAGCAGGGGACACCCACATGTCCACAGGGGACACACCCGGTGGGATGTATGTTGGATTCCTGGAAGGAGTAGAAGATCATATGCCTCTCGCAGCTGTCCATTGAGGACATTGAAGACATGTGGATATTTGGTCTGATGATCACTGGATTTCTCCTGATTGGAGTGGGATGATATCTGGTTTTCTGGAAATTTGGGAAGACGGGAGCCATCGGAGGGCGACCCCTACCCACGTAAAGCACCGTCCACTTGGAGACTTCTCAGACTGGGACGTTACTCGAGGTGAATCGTAAGCTGGACAATGTTCTAGCTGCGATACCGGTATTAGTGCGCAAAATGGATGTCATCTCGGAGAGAGTCACCGGACGGTATGGACAAGCTTAAAACCCAAAATTGGCTTCACTGAAGGATTGGAAATGATCAGTTTAAAGACTGAGGGCAGAGAGGAAAATTATCTCAGCCTGACCTAAACAAATTCTTGTTATCTGAATCTGACACGCCGGTATCCTTGAGCTGCAAGCAACTAAAACCCCCACGAAGGAATGCAGACAGATGCTGTGAAATCCTGTAATTACCATTTAATATTAATACATACCCCATTTAGTCAAGTTTGCACTAGTTAGCACAGCCGCGTACTGTTCTCACCTTCATAGTTGTGCACATACTGCAATATGTACCATTTGTATCCCTTTTCTCGTTTGCTTTGTGGAGTAGATGAAAAAGGGTTGGTAATACGATGACGTCAACAACTGAAATTTTCGGCAAATTCCCAAGGGGTCTGGAAATGTACAGTTCACTACTTGCACCATCCATGTTGACATCGCTGTACAGGGGACAGGAAGTATCATGGCTCTCCGGAGCTCATCAAGCAGAACTAGCGTTTACTATCATGCAGGGCCCACAGCTTTTCTTTGACAACAGCCAATCAGAACAGAAAAATAACCAATCATTGATGAACAAGAGTCTGCTTCTTGACCTGCAGAAAGAGAAAAACAAACAAAAAAGGGACACACAACAATACAACAAGAGCAAGCTATCACTGCGTCAACCTAATGAGGAAATACAGTATAAAACCAACATTGTTTTGCTGAACAATCACACGATGATAAATCACAGTGCGCTTAGTGCCAACCACAGCCTTAATACGTGCGTTGAAAACACCCAAGTCCATACTTATGAGAGCACTATGTGAGCACCTCTGTGCGTACACTCACTTGTATAAGTAATATTTCTCTATAGGAGCATCCAATAGAGTGTGAGGGGCCACAGATCTGCCACCCAAACATGTGTAGGAGATGGAGGGAGATCCAAGTCCCAGAGATCCAGGAGCTGTCCCAGAGCGCAGGGACCCCAGGGAGACTGTGACCAGAGAAGCCCAGGGCCCCTCTGAAGAGGCGCAGAGGATTGCCTCGAGGGGCCACAACCAGCAGCTGGCAGAGTTCCGGGAAATAACAGCGGCAAGCCAACAGGCCCGCCCGCAGCCTTCCACCCCCAAGCTGGCTGAGCCCGGGACCCAGCGACCCGGGACCCAGGGGTGACCAACCCACCGGGGACCCAACAGAGCCCAGGGATGCAGATCCCACCAGGCAACCACTGGGAGCAACCAGACATATGTTAAAAATCTGAAGCCCCCCGACAAGGGGAGCCGCGAACAGGTGCAGTGCAGACGTCGTCTGGCCTACGCCAGCTGATGCCACCACAAAGCCCTTCCCGCAACCCTCTGTTTCTAAGTGTAGTTAAAATTGGAAGTGGGCACCGGCACTCAGGGTGAGGCTGCATGATCCCCCTGCCGAATGCCGCTAGACAAACTACCTAATGAAGACCTGCTCTACTGAATCTGGAGGCCATGGACAGATTGGACTCTCCCCCTGGCAACAATGGAGGCTGAAAGATTGGACAAAAGACTAAATAAAAACTATTTCACTGAACAAAAAACAAAAAAAAAAAAGTTGTACACAAAAGTTAGTGATCCTGATCGTGTTTAGACCAACAAGAAGGCTAACCCTGATGGCGCCACTGACTAATGCATGGGACAGGGGTTAAAGAATTTTGTCAACAGCGAAACGTCATTGCTTTTTACAAAACTCTATCTGTGTTGCAGGAATTCATGCATGCTCATATGGAGTGTCACTGTACTTGAAGGTGAAACAAATTATATGCTGTTTTTACAAAAAAAATGCCATCAATTAGCCGCAACGCTGTGGCGGCATCAGGGAGCCTTAGGTCGTTTAAAAGTGGCCAGACTGTAAAAGTAATATGGGGCAATTGTGTCCTTTTTATAAAAGATTATGTGATGATGGCATATAGGAGGCATGGGGCTGTCTCTGCGATGCCATGGACATCCGCTTATCTTGGACATAACTTGCTTTTAATTACGTTTGAAGCTGCAATTGTTAAGTTTTCCTAAAGGTGTCTGTCCCCATCAGTCCCTGTGCAGTCTCTGATGATCTGAACTCCAGCTCTAACAAAGAGACGATCATGGAGTGCTGCAGTGCTCCAGTTTGCCGTCTCAGCTGATTTTGTTCAAAAAGCAAAACTTATTGCCCGTGTTTACTTTCATTTTCAATATATTAGCCTCGAAGCTTGGCACTAACTTCCCACATTATCATGACACCTCCTTCTGGTGCACCATGGCGCAATAGCCACTTATAAGACAGACCAATATTACTACCAAGCGAGGCGGAATGAATGCTGCAAAATTCACACAACGCCATGATGGCATGGCGTGTTTATGAGACACACTGTTGTGGTAATATTACTCCGATTCGCCGGCACAGTGTGTCTTGTACAAAGGGCTTAGGTTCCAATATAATACAACGCTAACCCTGATGATCAGTCTTCAAACTGAATACAATCCTCTTTTTCTGACACATAAGAAAAGACTGGAGTTGACACAGTTGTGCTTTATTGCTGTACAGGAACAGTAATAGAAAACATTGGGATCATAATTATTATGAAATACCACAATCTTCTTTTGCTTTACACAAACACATACATATCGTCGCTGTCGGGCTCAAACCCCCTATCGCTTTTTTTCCCATGATTTTCATCTTTTTACATATGTTGGTTCTACTGTCATCTTTCACATCAATTAGTAGATTTATTCATGACGTTTTGATGAAAGGTGTGAAAAAGAGCTTTTGACTTTTGACCATGCTGAGTCTGTTTATTTTATAGGAAGGATTTCCTGAAAAGTTATATATATATATTTTTTTTAGATACAAGGTTTTTGCTTGACAGTGATGACATGCAAATTAAAGATATGAATGTACAAAACATGTTTCAGTAAAAAAAAAATCTATGAATAAAAATTTTTAAAAGAAAAACATATTACATGAAATAAAACATATCTAACACTATAAAAGGCAGTGAGAAACCTCTTTTTCTAGGCTCAGAAATAATCTCTTTTCAAAAAACTCAAAACGGGGAGAGAGAATGGCCGTTAGACACTGGCTGTAGCACCAGAATGCTGATCACAAAGATTCACCATGGGTTGAGAATAAAACTGAACAAATTCTCCAAGGTTTCCGTGTTGTAGTGAAGCTACGTCAGCGAGCAGTTAAAGGTGGACAATCATACACCAGGAGGGATGGTGTAGTGACTCACGGTGTGGCTGAAACATGCAAGGTAGAAGCACTAACTCGTCCTCCAACACAAAACTGCTCACTAATTAATGCCAAATGTCGTGTTACATTGGTTTTTCATTGGCTGTGACATGGTACAAGGTACACCTTGCTCATAAATGCATTAAAATCTCTCATGCAGTACTGATCTCATTACATAAGACGTTAATCTTGGAGCAAATCAAGCCTCTAAACATTATCAACTTGCTTTATAAATAAACTGCATAATTTCTGAAGACGTGATTCACATTAAGCAGTCATTTTAGAACCAAGTGCAGGTTACAAAAGCTTTAAACAGAGTCAGTTGTGTACAGGGGTATTAAAAGTATGAAAGGATAAACATTTTCATTTATACATTCAGTCCAAATGTGAGTGGTTTGCTCTGATTCCTCCTGTATGTGCACCTTAGTCCACAAAGACATGGTGAGAATGATCATTCGGTGGCGGCGCTGCTAATTTGTAAGACTGAATCAATCGGACATGTTGTGGGTGATCAGTGGCAATGAGAAATCAATTAGAGCTATTGATACTTGCGATTGTAATCCATTCGGGTCTGATCTTCAAAAATCAAACTGTTCGTCGCGACACACCCAGCTCATTACAGAGGTCAACAAACGTGCAAACTACAACCATTTACATTTATCACGCCTGGCTCACATCCAGATGGGAAGTAATAAATAGTTTCAACAGTTTGCTAGGCATAAACATTTATTCTTAAAAAAAAGAAGATATTTACATTTTAAAATAAACCTTTTTATCATTGCATCAAACCCAAAACATTCTTATCATCATCACAAACCGTTACCACACTGTTCCCTTTTTCTTCATCTTTCATTTCAATCTCTGTCCTTCTGATATAATAAAAACGGGGGCCTAAAACAGTATTTACAAGGACATTACTATGGAAACACCCGTAAAGCCGGTCTTATCCACTGCAGCAGTAGGGTGGGGTCAAGTGGGAAGGAAGGTCTGTTTGTTGGGGTCAAATGAGGGGAAGGGTGAGGTGAATGGAGCATACGTCCACAGTTCAAGAACTACAATACTCTGGTGTGTGTGTGTGTGCTCCTCTAAACACACAAACATATTAACATACATGGGCAATGTCAGGCTCTTGAAACATGAAAGGCTCAGCCGTGCTTGAAACAAGGATTCCTATTTTTTTTTTACAACAGTTAAATGGATTTTAAACTATTTTAGAGGTAAATCTGAGAAGTGGAGTATTATTTGCATAGACTGATTTTTGGAATGTGGAGAAAAAAGTGCCCTCTAAGCTGTTTTTGTCCAAATTTGTCTTTTTATTTTTATTTTTTGCTGGCAGCAGCAGTAAAACAGACTTGGAGCAGAGGTTAAACTGTTCAATGTGACACTCATCTCAAACTTTTTACTCTTATTTTGTGACAAACTGCAAAAAATACTAATAAATAAAGAATGTTCCTTATTTAATACCTTTCCTCTAGACCCGTGTAGATTTTTACGTGCTCTGTTGCACTCGTCATCTGATCTGACACTTGAGTGTTTTTCATCTGTGCCTAAAATGCAAATTATGAAGGAATCAAAATGAAATCAGGCTAAAACTAAAACATGAGCTGTTTTTAAGCCACATGAAGCCATGCCTAAGCGATCAGTTTCATCAAACTATTCCAAGATGAGTTATTTATCTCATTCTTTAAAGTGACCATCTGGCTATCTCATTATGATGAGATATAATAGCCTCTTTTCTTGTGATAGCTCGTTAATTTGTTCAGTTATTTAGAACTGGAAAAAGTTTGTTTCACTTGTGATAACCAGATGTTATTCTTCAAATCTCGATAAGACAAAAAGTATCCCTTCCTTAACAGGCAGTCGTGCTGATTCAGGCTAGAAATGATGAAACATTCAGTAAACATTTACAGATAATTCACAAGCATCCCAATATAGATACCGCTTGAAGAACTTAGGGATAACTTGTTGTCGTCGCATGAGAAAACATTTGTTTTCCTGAGATAACGTGTCACCTTAAGTAAATACAGATTTCTCCACAGAAAAATAACTTGGTCATTTTAAGATAGTAAAGTAGTGGAATCAGGGTTTCCAGACAATTGCCATCCCGCTCTTTCGGAGTTGGGTCACGGGGGAAGTAGCCTAAGCAGGGAGGCCCAGATTTTCCCTGGCCAGCCGAGAGACGTAGTCCCTACAGCATGTCCTGGGCATCCAGGAGGTATCCTAACTAGATGTCTGAACCAACTCAACTGGCTTCTCTTTATGTGGAGGAGAAGCAGATCTACTCCAAGCTCCTCCCAGATGACAGAGCTTCTCACCCTGTTGCTAATGGAGAGCCGAGACACCCTCTGAAGAAAACTCATTTTGGCCTCTTGTATCCATGATCTTGTTCTTTCGGTCACTACCCAAAGCTCGTGACCATAGGTTAGGGTAGGAACGTAGATCAACCAGTAAATGAGAGCTTCGCCTTCCAGCTCAGCTCCCTCTTCACCACACCACTGCAGACGCAGCACCAATCTGCCTGTTGATCTCACCTTCCATCTTTCCCTCCTCATGAACGAGACCCAGAGATGCTTAAACTCTTACATTTGAGGCAGGACCTCTTCCCTCACCTGGAGAAAGCCTCCTATTCTTTTCTGACTTCCCACAATTGCTGTTCTAATTATTTTACTTCTGATTGAACTGCTTTTAATTTTACTTTGTGGCATTTGAGAAAAAATTTAGGGCTTCAGCCTTCGATGTCCAGACCCAACAACGCCCATGTGTTGACACTATGAGCGTTTCGTTGCTACTTTAGGAATGTAGACTGTTTTGTTTTTTCTTATTTACATCATGTATTTCTCATCATCCCACAGAGACCGCCACCAAACTGAAATACCAGTTTTGATTTGTTCATTTATGTCACTATATACATTGATGATTTGCAGACACACTATCATGTACATTAGTTGTGATAACTAAACTTTAACCGTAGTTTTCACATGCATCCCTTTGGCACAGTCCCGTGTTCACAACATGAACTACGCACCTTCTTGTTAAAGCTTTGTCAGTTCAGCTTTGCATTTGCACCTTGAACCCCTTTGGGCGTTCTTGTTAGATTCCCTTTTTCCGATAACGATAAGTGCAGTGGCTTGGAATTTGGCCAGAGGTTTTGTTTTTCTCAAAGGCTGGTAACAAGGAGGAAGAGAAATGCACCCTGGGATACTGAGGTTATCCTGACCCCTCGTTGCCATGGCTTCAGTAGCACTTAGGGCCCAAACATGCTCAAGCCAGCCTCACTGATGCTCAAAACCTTGAGGTTCATAAAGGCGTTTGTCAGCTTGTAAACTTTATAAGTCCACAGTACATCAAGTATGATCAGCACCATGTTGTGAGGAGGAAACTCATCTCCATGCGGTGGTTAATGGTGATTAGCCTGGATGCAGGTAGCAGGCCCGTTCACAACTGACCACGCCGAAGATGTTGCTGATTAGCTTGTAGATTCAGCTTCCTATAAACGGACATCATATATTTGTTTTCTCAAACAAACTACAAATAAATATAATAGATCATCTTTTGATATGCCTCAGTTTGTTAATAAAATATTTCACCATGCATTCTTGATTTAAAAGTGTCACTCTGTACACATTTAAGTTTCAATGTATTGATTTGGGTATCTTCCACAGTTAAGTGCAAAGACAAAAAGGCAGGACTCCCGGCCCAGAGGCCACGCTTTCGCGCTTCAGTGCAGCCTTTGGGCTTCGAGGCTTGTTGGCCCACGTGTTGTAAACAAAAAAGAAAAAATAACAAAAAATCATTGAGAAAGTAGCTTGTGGATGTGTGGGGATCACAGAGACTTTGTCATGGAGAGGCCTTCCTGTTGGTCCAGAGCAGAGTGGGGGGGGCAAGGGTGCGGAGTGAGGTGAGCGGGGTTTATATTCGCCCCGCCCCTCACACTGCACTTGTCGCCAGCGCAGAAGCTCCCTGAGGGCGGCACTCTCGTCTCGGTTGGACAGACGTAGTTGCTGAAACACCTAGCATAGAAACGGAAAACAAAGACAAATTGGTTTGGGATCAGAAGAATATGAGAGGAAATAAACAATCAAAGCACACTATTACAACAATGGTTGACACAATGAAGCTTGGAATGGGAGAATGTAAAGCAAAAGAAAAATAATTGTAATCCTATTAAAAAAGACAAAAGAAAACCCATGTTTAGTTATTTATGCTTGATACTAGGGCTGGGCGATGGTTTAAATTCAATATCACGGTAAATTGAGGATTTCACCTCAATAACAATAAATGGACAATATTTTTATGTTTATTTATTTAGCAGATGCTTTCATCCAAAGCGACTTAAAATTTATAACCTATAGGGCATGTTGTGATCTGTGGGGGAAACCGGAGTACCCGGAGGAAACCCACGCATGCATGGGGAGAACACGCAACTCCACGCAGAAAGGCCGCAGCCGGGTTTCGAACCTGCAACCTTTGTGCTGCGAGGCAACGGTGCTAACAACTGTGCCACCATGCAGCCCATTAATAATTACATTTATGAGCAGAAACAAAGGTTGTCCACTAATGGGGCTGTCGCGTGTATTACATTGAGTCACTTTGTCACTTGAGTCGTGGTGGTACAGGCTCTTAAAGGGACATGAACATCACCAACCTACACACATCTTTTCTTTTTTTATTGCACTTATTGAAATGGGAAAAACTATATCAGTTAGAGTCAGAAATTTTGATAACTATACATGTTTGATTTAATACCATCTCTACTTGATACTACTTCCTGAAAGAGATACTTGGCGGTTTTGGCTTGCTTTTAGCACCCCCTAGTGTTCATGAAAAGGTGGCAGCCCAGGGAGGGGCTGACACCTTAACGTGGTGGAGGGGTTTGAGTGGCTTAATGATCCTAGGAGCCAAGTTGTCTGAGGCTTTCTGCCTCTGGTATGGTCACCCATGGCAAACAGGTCCCAGGTGAGGGATCATTCAAAGAGCAGCCCAAAGACCCCTTATGAAGATAAAGATAAATGGAAACTGTTTTCCCTCGCCCGGACACGGGTCACCGGGGCTCCCCTCTGGAGCCAGTTCTGGAGGTGGGGCATGCCAGCGAGTGCCTGGTGGTCGGACTTTCACCCATGGAGCCCAGCCGGTCACAGCCCAAAGAAGAAACGTGGGTCCTCCTTCCCATGGGCTCACCACTTGTGGGAAGGGCCAAAGGGGCCGGGTGCAGTGGATGACGGGTGGTAGTCAAGGGCAGGGACCTTGGCGGTCTGATCCTCGGCTACATAAGTTGGCTCTTGGCACATAGAATGTCACCTCTCCGGTGGGGAAGGAGCCTGAGTTGGTGTGTGAGGTTGAGAGGTTCCGACTAGATGGACTCACCTCAATGCATGGCTCTGGCTCTGGAACCAGTTTCCTTGAGAGGGGTTGGACTTTCTACCACTCTGGAGTTGCTCCCACTGAGAGGCGCCGAGCAGGGGTGGGCATACTAGTTGCCCCCCATCTTGGTACCTTTACGTTGGGGTTTACCCCGGTGAATAAGAGGGTAGCCTCCCTCCGCCTACGTGTGGAGGGACGGGTTCTGACTGTGGTCGGAGTTTATGCACCATCGACCCTTTGTAGAGTCCTTGGAGGGGGTGCTGGAGAGTGCTCCTTCCAGTGACTCCTTTGTTCTGCTGGGGGACTTTAATGCTCACGTGGGCAACAACAGTGGGACCTGAAGAGGTGTGGTTGGGAGGAACTGATCTGATTTCGAGCAGTGTTTGTTATTGGACTTCTGTGCTAGTCATGGATTTTCCATAATGAACACCGTGTTCAAACATAAAACATAAACATATGTGCTCTTGGCACCAGGATACCTTATCACACTCCTGAGCCTCCCTGGTAAGGTCTATTCAGGGGTTCTGGAGAAGACGAACTGTCGAACCTCGAATTCAAGAGGAATGGATGGATGGATAGTGTTCATTAGTGAAACCAAAAGTGAAACTCTTCTTTTGCTGTACCTTTCTCTTTTTAACACCTTAATCTAACTGCTGAAATGTCTCCTCAGCCTTTATTAGTTTCTACAGGAGCGGTTCATCACTAAATCAAACAAATCAGCTCTGTTCAAAAACATAAAAATCTATGTGAATGACCATGCAGTGACATAAAAGGAAAACTCCTGACATTGGAATTGCTTTAGAATAATGTGGTGTCACCCTTTTGAAGTAGCATGCTAGCTCATCAATCTGGTTGGACTCTACTTCTACAGACTGAGGTTGTTCAAATAGCTATCTACAACAGGTTCTTAACCTTTCAGCAAAAGCATCCTTCAAAAGATTTGAAGTATTGCTTTGTTTCACCAACACCAAGGTCAACAATACAGAAAAGCTCTCAAACACACACACACACACACACACACACACACACACACACACACACACACACACACACACACACACACACACACACACACACACACACACACACACACACACACACACACACACACACACACACACAGACAATAGTCCGTATGCAGCACATCATCCTTCACCCATGATTCAGTGTCCAGGTAAATCAATCAGACAGGATTTTCAATTTTCCTCAGTCAGTGGTACCAGCAGGGACAGGCCTTGATGATCCGGGTCGGATTAAAAACCCAGAGGTTTGGGTTGCTGGTAGATTTCATTAAGGAGAAAAAACTGTTTCTTCACACCCAGAATTATACAGATACATATTTCAGAGCTGTTTTGCATTTTTCTTAAAAACAACAAAAGCTGGAATATATAATTTTTTTTGAATAATAAAAGAAATGAATCAGCCAGAGTCTTGCAGATAATTCTTGATGGGTTTATTAATGTTTAAATACTTGAGATGCATATTTACAGACTCTACAACTATCATAAATTAAGATTTTCAAAATGTTTCGGGCCGCTTGAGGATTATCAAGCATGTAAATATTACAGAACTATAAATTCTTGTTAAATCAGCTAAAACCAGGCTGAATATTTAATGCGGAACCCAACCAACCCAATTTATTTAGTCGTGCAGCTCATTAATGTTTCTTTTTTAAACTTTTCGACAGTTATGAGCATCCGGGTAATAAACTAAGGGTTTAATTGTTTTTATAGACAAACTTGTTTTCCTTGTATGTTTTTCCGCTCTGATTATCAAGTTAAGCTGTTTTTTTATTGTGTCGTTTTCCAGGAAATGCCTCAAAGCCAGAGACACTGTTGCCTGAAGCACACAGGGACAAACATGCACGGATACATATGTGAAACACCACATATATGAGAGCATCCATGCAAATGCTCACAGTCTGACACACACACACACACACACACACACTCACACACACACACACACACACACACACACACACACACACACACACACACACACACACACACACACACACACACACACACACACACACACACATTGATTGTCTGCACAAGCACAATGCTCAAGAATCTAATCCATAATTTACACCTCCCTGCCAGGCTATTCTCTGCTCTGGCGCCAGCCAGGAACACCAGCTTCTGGAACAGTAGACAAGAAGGAACACCATGTCCTTCTGCAATGCATGACTCTACATGGACAAACACACAGACTGAACACTTATGAGGATAAGATACAATTTTGGGTGTTATTAATTTTGAGAAATGCGTTGCTTTCAACCTTCATGCCAGAGAATGTAGAGAACTTCAAAAATCAAAAGGTCATAAAAACAAGATAAGATTGTTTTGTTGCATTTAAAAATTCACAAAAAGCTGAAAACCTTGACAAGCTTCTGACACAGTACAATGTTCTGGTCTAAAGAAGACAAAAAAGTTGCATGGTGTCTGTACTTGGAGACTAGGATTAATTTAAAAGTATCATAAAGTTCTGATTGTGAAAAAAATAAGTAAATAGAAACTGACCTCCAACATCTTAATCCACCCTTTTAACTATAGAGGATGTTTTTATTTTTTTTCACTTATTCCTGAAGCTACAATCATGTCGTCACCATCACATGGCTGACACACACCAGGAGGTTAAAAACACCATTTTTTCCTCACTGAACTCCTAAATTATACATGTAAATGAAAATGTCTCCAATTTGAGCAAATCTCAACAAAATGTAAAATCTTGTATCTTTGATTTTTGTTAGTTTTGTTGGACAAAAAAGCTAAGTTGTTATTTATGTCATGCGCAAGCGTTTTTCCGTTTTTCCGACAGATTTTCTTAATGAGGGGTTCTTCGTCCGTTTTTAGAGCATGAGAGGCTGCATGTTTCTGAGAGGCAAACATGTGAGTGCTCCTTCTTTAAATGTCATCAACTTTGTCCAGCCGGATAAACAGACCCATCAATCTCTGTGCTCTTCAGCCATTCAGCTGTCTGTCAATTTGTTATATAATTAGTCTAGACTGCTCCGGTCTACTCGCTACAGGGAAATAAAACAAGGTAATCTATGCATTCCCAAACCAGCTGTCCCCTTCATCTAGCAGCATCCTTTCATTTTTCCCATTAAGTTTAGAGAATCCAACATAAATTCAGTCCTGAATGATGCTAATTTAAACTCAATTCGGCTCAAAGAATTAATCTCATTTCGTAATGAAAAAAGGTAATTAATTCCTTTCAAAGCGATGATGACAGTCTGTCACTTTTATCTCTGGCTCCTGGTGACATAGTTTGTCTGCAACACTTTGCAGAGATTATGTCAAAGGAAGAAAAGCCCAGGTTTATGGAAGAAGTCTTCACATGTCTAAGGGAGTACTCCAATGCTTCCAACAGGGAAGTCTCCCTTCATCCGCTAGCGGTTAGCATCAGAAGTGAGCAAATTCTCAGTGACTCCCATGTTAAATATTACAATTTTACAACCTAGTTAAAAAAACATTTAACATTAAACAGCCATGACAACTCTGATGGTGGTGTGTGTGTGTGTGTGTGAATTTTTTCTAACTCTTCTGTTTAGGTGTAATTAAATTCTTGAAATCATGAATAATTAGATTTGACTGACAGGTAGCACGAGCATCAGAGCTAGCACTAGCAGCTAGCTCTAGGG